GTGCGTGTGTGTGAGAATGTGTGTGCGAGTGTGTGTGTGAGTGTGTGTGTGTGTGTGTGAGTGTGTGTGTGAGAATGTGTGAGTGTGTGTGTGTGAGAATGTGAGTGTGTGCGAGTGTGTGTGTGTGAGTGTGTGTGAGAATGTGAGTGTGTGCGAGTGTGTGTGCACACACTCATTGTCTCTGTCAATGTCAAAAAAGTTCATTGTCTCTGTCTCTCTTTGTCTACAGGTTTCAGAGGCTCGTTCTAGATTTGTCTCTGCAGTGGCGTTTTTCTAGTCTGCCGAATAATGCCAAGCTGGAGATGGTGGTGTGTTCTCGGCCGCAGACGGGAGCTGAGAGCGCGGTGTGTGTCTGCATAATTAACACCACTGTCTGTGTGTCAAATGAAATGAAATGATTTAGTTTGGCTGGTTTAGCCAGAACTGACACGGAATAACAGCTGAAAATTGATTTTATTTGCTAATATATTAATTTTCATATGTGTGTCCTTAGTCAGAGGCGGTGCATGTTTTTATGAAACTAGTTTTCTTTTGAACAATGTGCATCAGTGAAATATTCACAGTAAGACCAGCAATATTTATTTTTTATTGAGAAAATAAATAGTTTTTTAAAATGTTATTGATCAAGTAGTTTTAGAGTATAAAGTACTCTCTCAGCAATAAAAAAAAAAAAGATTGTAGTGTGTTTTATTAAATAATGAGCAACTATGAAACCTAAAGAAACTTATAGAGCTTTTTAAATAAATTATAATTAATGCTTTGAAACATGGTGATTATAGTCAAATAAAACTAAAAACTTAAAAAAAAATATATATAATTTTTCTTACTAAAAATTAAGCTTATTTTAATTCAAGAAAAATGTATAATTTTCATGTATTTTAATTTGATGTATTAAAATAACTAAAACTAATTTAAAAAATGATTAGTAAAATGAAAATGACAAAAACACAAAAAAATGACTGAAAATAAAACCAAGTGCAATAGTTCTGATGTAATTTCTCGAATGATCAGCAATTTTGAGCAAAATAATAGTGATTATCAGTTTAACCATCATGCAGCTTGACTAAAATGAGTTTAATTGACTAAAACTAGACTAGATTTCCCAGACTTGCAGTCGACTAGAACAGGACAGCTCGACTGAATATAATAAAAACCGTTATAAGGAAAACGCTTACATGGCTTAATGCATTAAAACAGTGCTTGTCTGTACATAGTATGATTTATTAATCATGCTCTCACTGAGTTTCGTCTTTTAAAAACAGTTTTAATCGGTTTTAATTCATTAAGCCACGTTGGGGAAGTCGTGGCCTAATGGTTAGAGAGTCGGACTCGTAACCCAAAGGTTGTGGGTTCGAGTCTCGTACCGGCAGGGATTGTAGGTGGGGGTAGTGAATGTACAGCGCTCTCTCCCACCTTCAATACCACGACTGAGGTGCCCTTGAGCAAGGCACCGAACCCCCAACTGCTCCCCGGGCGCCGCAGCATAAATGGCTGCCCACTGCTCCGGGTGTGTGTTCACGGTGTGTGTGTGTTCACTGCTGTGTGTGTGCACTTTGGATGGGTAAATGCAGAGCACTAATTCCGAGTATGGGTCACCATACTTGGCCTCACGTCACTTTCAAAGTTAAGAGTTTTTCTTATAGCCTAACGGTTTTCTATGGGAGGAAAACGCTTAACGAGTAACGTTAATTACAGGCCTAACGTTACAGCTAATCACAGTCTGTCGGATTCTGGAGTGTAGTAGAGTTTTGAATAAAATTATAAAGAATAAATAAATAAAA